TAAAAAATGGGAAAAGTGCTATTTAAGATGCTAAAAATACAAAATTTTCCTTTTTTTCTGTGGACTTTCTCTCCAACTGTCATGGAATTTTTTTATTTGCTATTTAATGTTCTCAGAAGAGTTTAAATCAGAAGCATGACTTTTATCACTTATCTTTGTATGGCATCAGTTTTGAGCACTGAATTCATATGTGGAATCACCAAATTGCAGTCATTGTTTCCTGTACAAGTGTGTGCACTCATTCTCACCTGAACAGCTGCAGTGCTAAATAAAACTGACTCCTTCCACTGCTGCTGGGCTTGGTGTTGCCCTCTGTAATCCCAGCACTCCCCAGGCAGAGACGGGAAGATCACAAATTCCAGGCCAAACTGGTCTATGCAGAGAGACTGTCTCAGAAGAAAAGGCAACAAAATAAAACCGACTTGTTTCCACCTCACTTTTTAACACGCACCACAACAGTAGCATGTGCTTGCTACTGTCACTGATGAGTGGGGCCTGACAGTGAAGCGGCCCTGGGCCTCTCATTTCTGCTGGCCTCGCTTTCAGTGGGAGCGCTTCAGGGATGTCACACTGAGAGAGGACATGCAGGCTTCATCCTGTGGTCAGAATTGAGAAGGGAACGGAGGACAGACACACCCGTGTGAAGCAGCCAAGACTAAGACTTTCCAGCTCTGAAGAAGATGCAAACCATCTGCCCAGGGAACCTCAATATGAGAAAAAAAAAAAAAAAGACATATAGTGAAGCGACTAAACACTGAACAGGACATGATCTCAGAAGCAGAGAAAAAGGACAGGGGACATTCAAAGGAACAGTTCTCAGACCACACAGATTTCTTAGGTGAAACCTAGAAGCCAGAATATCGAGAGGTCATCGTTGAAGTCTTAGAAAGGACAAAATGGTCAGCCTAGAATTCTATGTGCACCACATGAAAACTAGAGGCAAGAGGAAAATAAGGCCTCTACAAAATGTCATTAACAGATGCACTTCATGAAGAAAGAAAAAGGCCCTAGATGGGAAGCCTGAGGTAGAAACGACTTTAAAGTGGGTGGGAAGCCTCACAGACACTGATTCTGCTAACAAGGTAACAGTGCTTCCTCAAGTTATCAGAGATTTAGTTCACGACAAAAATGGAAAATCAAGGTAAAGTCCCCGATCCTGGTATTACTCCAGAGGATTAAGAATTCTGATGAACTATAGATTTTAATAACTTAAGTATGCATTTCTAGGGTGATAACCAAAAGAACAGTTTTTACCTTTAATGCAGTAATGAGAAAAAAATGCAATGGAGACTTCTAATTGAAGAACACATCTTTAAAGAAGAAAAAAGCTGGACGAGTAAGACACAGAACAGAGTGGACACAGTTTACCATGCACCAGTAACTACACAAACTCGACTCAATGCCTCAGTAAAAAAGCATGCAAATATACTACTGTGTGTGCGTGCACTGTGCGTACGTGTGCGTGAACAGTCATGCTTAGGCCTCACCCACCCGATGAAGCAGGTGCTCCTAGCCTGCAAGTGGTCAGTGTGTGGCACTTGTGCCTGCTCCCTGCATCCTTTTGCTCTGCCATCCCCAGGGTCTCAGAGACCATGTATATGGCCAGAATACTCAAGTGACAGTGACACAAACAATTTGCAGTGGGAAGAACTATTTCACGAGCCCCTGCCCGGGCACGAGAATGGGAAGTGTGGTTTCCCGGTGAGATGCCTGCTTCTGCAGACAGTTCTAGGCTGTGGACAAATGAGCAGGAGAGCAGTGTGGTAGGCAGGTGTCATGGGACACCCTTTAAACAGATGATTCTCTTTCCATTGCTGTTAGTCTGTACAGTTTTGTTTTTAGTGCTGGGTCCTTGCCCCTACTCGGCAAGTGCTCTACCACTACCCACGTCGCCAGTCCCCATTGCTTTGAAAAGCAGCTGTTTGTTGGTGTGGCCCTGAATGACAGGGTGGCCACTCTTCATGACCTAGTCTCTTAAATTAGGTCTTCAGAGTCTGACCTGCGTGGTCACAAGCCACTTGTAGCTTTCGAGTCCTGGAAGTGAGGCCTTCCCACTCGAGCAGAGCTGTAACTAGCTGTATGGTGCATGGCGGGTTTCAAAGACATAACAGGGATACAGGGAGGTAAGTAACATCTGCTGTTAGCTCATGCACTTGGTAAATGTTGAAATAATTTGCATGCATGGGTGAACTAAAATTAATTTTGCCTTCTGGAAGCCTTTTTAAGGCGACTACTCGAAAGCTCAAGGTGGTCCACGTGGCTGCTGTGTTCTGTTGAAGGCCTAGCGCACCGCCCAGCCTGACTGCAGAAAGCCTCAGAGGCTTCATTGGCTGGAAGATCGTCTACGTGAGCGCACCATATGCCACCTGGAAATACTGCGAGAAAAATAATGAAATCAAACAGCCCTTCCCCCAAGCCCTCAGTAAACACCACTCCACCCACCAAGGCCCCGGTTCCTTCCGTCTTTTCTCGTGATTTCCTCAACAGCAAATGCGTTTCCTCCTTCGTGGAGAATTCAGGTCTTTGTAACATAATTGAAGTCCAGCCTGCCTGAGGAGACACTTCAAGCTCTGGAGTCTTCTGTGGCCATGATCCCTCCTGTCCACCCAGGCAGAGACTGGTGGGAGACAGCAGAGAACAGCGGCTGGAAGCTGGGGAGGCAGAGCCGTGATGCCCCTGACAGAGGGCCTCCAGCCCAAGCAGGACCCGGAGGAGGTGGACCTGAAGATGGAACTCCTCATCTTCATGAGCCTGCTGCCATCACTGCACTTGTCTTAGAGAAATGCAACAGCTCTGAAGACCAGGCACCACACGTGGTGCTCAGTGGGATGAACCTGGCTCCAGCTTCTCCTCCTGTCTGCAAGTGATCAGGCCCAGATGGTGCAAGAGGTTCTGATCGACTGGGCCTGAAAATCCTACTTGTTATGGACAAGGTGGGCTGTGTGACCACCCTTCATGGCTAAACTGTAAACTACTGGGGAGAATGGAGGACGTCCTGGGGCCCCAGGGAGCTCTTACGCTGTGGTATTCAGCGTTGTGGCATGGGTGTAATTAGCAATAATGTGACTCCACTGTCCAACCTGTGTTGGTTTTAAGGGGATTGCGTGTGACATGTCACCATCTTGTCGGTCATTCCTGTCCTCACTTCTGTCCAGAGGGTATTTGTGAAGGGTCCCTGGCAAATCACTATGATCTGTGGGAGTCAGCACACAACCACAAAGACATTTAAGCACAGGACCATAGGTCTGTATTTTCAATAAATTTACCAACAAAGGGGGAAAAGTCATGTAGAACTTATGGGGAACGGGTTGGGATGAGCCAATAAAACCTGTGCAATTTTATGAGTAAAACAATACCATTTTGTTTTGTCTGAGAAAGGAGGATCTCACTGTGCAGCCCAGGCTGGCCTCAAACTTACGCTTCTCCTGCCTCAGCCTCCCAAGTGCTATGATTCCAGGAGCATGCCATCATCCCTGACTACAGTCCCATTTTAATTCAAAGCCTACCCAGTTTAAAGCATTAGCTGCTAATAACTACAATGACCTAAGACTGCCTGTGTGAGAATGGACAGTATGTTGAAGGTTGGGCCGGTACACAAGGAGGGTGCAATTCAGAGACCAGGGGAATCAAAGCAGACATGTCCAGGTTTGGGGCCTCAGTCAGAACAAGTCAGGAAAAGCAGGCTGAGGTGTCAGAGGCGGGGCTGAAGTCAGCCACTGTTGCATCTTAACAGCTCTGAAGGGGAGCTGCGTGACTGCTCATTGCATAGGCACACACAGTCTTACTGATCACATGTGCACTAGTTCACGCCCAGTGCACCCATCATAGCACTGCATCCCTACCCAGTGTGCCCCATGCGGGCCGCTCCTGTTATGCCCTGAGGAGCAGACTGCATTCCTGCCACAACCCACCAGCGATCTTCCACTTAAGTCACTTGTCGTAAGACAACGCTTACTTTTCTAAATCTTTGTGTATCAAAAACATTCCTTTATAGAAAGAACTTGGTTTGGAGGATGCTAGAGATTGTATTTAAGGACAAAAGTTTTCAGAGCAAACTTTCTATAAACCTGAGGTAAATGTGAGATCTGCCTGTCTGTGCTAGCAGTGAAACAGCATTTTAAGCTAAGCCTTGAAGATCTTTCTGCAGCCAGGGCCAGGCAGCTGTCCATAAATTAACTGCATTTGCTTAGGAACTTTTTGAGGTCTTTAGGCAGTAGGGATTTTCAAGTTGTGGTCTTAGAAAGAAGTGAAAGAAGTGGAATAAATAAGCAAAATGGAGGCCACCATCTTTCTCTTGGATTTCTTTTCCTATGATTGCACTAAGTCTGCAGCCACAGTGGGAAGATGACTAGGAAAGAGCTATGAGCCAGCTCTGCTTGCTTAACACCTAGCACGAAGACCTGAAGTTGTGGCATAGGCCAAGGACAGGGCTCCTTTAAGACTAGAATAACTGGTGTCAGAGCAAGCTAACAGTGTGACTAACTGTAAAATCCTAATTCCTCTCTCCTCTCTACCTTTAATTTCAAATGCCAGGGTTTACAACCAAGCAAAGCCTTTTTTCTCCCTACCCTCCTAAATTCTTCAGCTGGAGCCCTGTAAATTAGACTAACAAAGGACAGACTAACGAGAAAGATATGCACCTTATTTGATGGAACTGTCCTGTGTATGGGCACTGTCCTAAGGAAATGAAGACATGAAAAATAGCTAAGCCTAAGTGTACTGATGCTGGTATGGATGAAGGGTGGCAAGTCCTAGAAAGTGGCAGGACACAGTGAGCTGGGGCAGCTCCTTAGATTCCTCCCACGCCCCCTGCCCTCAGAGAGGAGGATGCTCCTCTCCTGGGATACAGGGAGGCCCCACTCACAGGAGGGCTTGTGGTGGGAGAATGGGTGGTCAGAGTCCCTCCTGCACTGGCCACCCTCAGGTTCCTTCAAGAAGGACTGTCCTATCTTCTAGGGGACCCCATGCTGGGCCTGAGTCTCTCCCTTTGTCCTGCTCAGTTCACGGAAGTCAGTCACCGCATATTGTGCTCATACGACACTGACCTAGAGGAGCTCTTTTCAGAAGTCGATCACTGCTTGGCCATAAACCGAAGCATTCTTCAGCAGTTGGATGAGAAGTGTGGCCGTGACATCACAGATGAGGACTGGGAGAAAATCCAAGTGCAGGTAGGCTTCGGCCCAGTGGCCAGGTCCATCCACCAAATGGACCACAGCCATGGGGTCTATAGGGGGAAGATGAAGGGCGCCTGGTAGGAGCTGCCCTGGCTGTGCCCACACTGTGGGGAACTCGTGAGAACCAGGGCCTTTTTCAGAGCACAGTAATGACTGCCAAGTTCCCTTCATTTTGAAATGGTTGAAATCCTGGTTGGGCGATACATTTGTGAAAGACCACACTTAGCCTTCCTGAAAGTCTCCTGTAACCCCAGCCCTCTTTGCATCTTCAGCCTCAGAAGGAAGGAGATCAGGACCCTGAGATGACTCAAGCCAAGACAGAGGGAAAACTTACTCAAAACATCACAAACTTAGGAAAATTTAAAAAGACATTTAGCGGTTAAATACAGCCAAGTATTTAGAATTTTTCTATTTTTCTTATTTAAGGAACCACGTGACTGTATCATTAACGCTCAGCATTTCAGAAAGTATTTTTGGTTTAAAATTGCAATCACCGGTGGGTTACTGTCCCTTTTCACGTTCACAAGAGTATGTGTCTCTGTGTGTATGTCAACTTATCAGTGCCACACATTTCCTTATAGAAGCTCTCAATTAGGTTTGAGTGACTCTAGTGCCATAGAGTCACCTCCAAGGACAAACTCCTGTCTGCGTCTATGCTGCAGGCCACTCACCGGGAGATCTACGAGTGCTCCATCTGCCTCACCCCGCTCTCACTCCATGGAGACTGCCGGCCACCGGCCACAGGGAGCAGCAGCAGCCAGCGTCCCCGGGCGACGGTCCTCCTGTCCTGCACACATCTGTTCCACCACACCTGCCTCCTGGCCTTGGAGGAGTTCTCCTTAGGAGACAGCTCTCCCTTCCACCTCTGTCCTCTCTGCCGCTCCTGCTACCAAAAGAAAATTCTTGAATGTTGAACTCATGTTTTGGAAAAGTCATTTAATTCTGAGGGGGAAGGAAAGCTTATCCTAATTTTGGATGAACTGTGAGTTCTAACTACACTTAGTACTAACGACAGTATAGCTCCTCTGCAGTAACATAACCTTGGTGACAATATACAGGCAATATAACCATATTTTAAAAGCTGACACCCAACCTGTCTATTTTTAGTCTTTATAAGAAACAAATCTCACATTCATGAGTTAATCACTTGAAGTAAATGAGAAATAGTGTTGCATAAACAACAGTGTCCGACCAGCAGGAAGGAAACTGGACATCAAGGTCCAGATGCATTCATAACACAAGTCCTACAACCTTACTTCTATGCAATAGATTATTGAGGGGAATGGATTATGAGAAGCCTATAAGAACTGGACCTAAGCACAGCTGTACTCAATGTTCTGCAGGCCAAGATTGGCACAGCCCCAGCTGCAGAAGAAGAAAATGCATAACAGCTGCTTTTCCTAAGTTGTTCATGTTCAGAGAGGTAGATTGCAGGTTCTTGTGACAATGTCACGCCCCTCCCCAAGATCTGCTGCTCCACCTTGTTTACCACTGGGTATGAAAGACTCACTGAAGGAGGACACAAGGCTTTTGGCTTTTTGATAGGGAAGGCTTTTGGATGTGGGAGGCTTTTTGGATGAAGGAGGGTCATTGGATGCAATGAGGCTTCTGGAAAAAGATGGGCTTTTTCATGGGGGGTTTTTGGCTGAAGGAAATTGCTGGAGGGAGATTGCTGAAGGGATAAAATGGATTGCTAAAGGGAGAATTGCTGAAAGGAAAAGGATTGCTGAAGGAGAACTGCTAAAGAGGGGTTGATAGAAAGTCTGCACCAAGAACTTTATACACAGGCTTTAGAAAAGCTAAGCTAAAGAAAAGCTAAGAGAAAACACGGGACAGAGCGAGTCTAAGGAAAGAGACTTTAAGGAACAGAAAAGAAGACTTTAGAAGTGAGGTTTTAAAGAATAGAAAGAAGAAAGACTTTAGAAGCAAGGTTTGAAAGAACTGTAAAGGAGTAAGGCCATAAAGAATAAAGAGAGAGAGAAGAAGCAATGAGGCTGCTGTGCATCTCCATCTGGGCTCCCAACACACTTGGCCCCAACTTTCTGTCTATCCTGCGTCCTTCCTGCATCTCCTGTTGCCGCCTAGTTAGGCCCAGTTAGGTTCAGTGGTAACAGGAGCAGGAGAAAGCTCGCTCCAGATTATTACGGCATTGGACACTCTGAATGTGAAAACTCAATAAAGAAAAGTCAGTGGCATTCAACGTCAGAACATGGCGAATCAAGTTTTAGTGACGGAGCTGCACGCTGCTGAGGCCACAGGAAAGACAGCTGTGAGAGTCCCCATCAGCCTTGACACTGATTCACTAGTGCAGTGGTCCCTCAGAACCAAGGGCACTGGATTCCAAAACCCACAGATGCTCGAGTCCCTGGCACAAGATAGTGCAATGTCTGCAGAGAACCTACGCACACCTTCCCTTACCCTTTAAATCGCCTCTAGGTTACATAAATGCTAATGTAAGCAGTTGTACCCTATTATTTAGGGAATAAGGACAAGCAAGGGAAAACACCCATACCTTTCACTACTGTTTTTTTGAGTATTTTAGATCCAGGGCTGGTTGAAGCCATAGATGCAGAGCCTGCAGGTAGAGAAGGCCTACTGAGGAGTTTGCTTATTTTCAGTTCCAGTCATGCTGCACTGGTGAGGCTGCCCTGGCTGCCAGAACAGATCAAACCTTCTAATAATGCTTGTCAGCAGTGGGGTGAGGGAGGCTAGTGGGGAGGATGTCTACCCTGTGGGCCCTACATGCTCACGGCTCTTTCTGACAGCTTCTAGTCTCCTTGATCCTTAGTGTCCCCCAGGGAATCCATTCATCTGCTTGGGGAAGAGCAAGTGTTCAGACTGGTGGGGAAGCAGTGCCCATGTGAGCAGGCAGCTCAGCCTGGGCACAGGAGCAGTGGACAAGCACGCACCAGGGTCCACAACAGCCACTGCCCAATGCAAAAAGTGCTGACATTCATGTTTCTATTGATTTAACTTCATTTTAAAATAGTGCTCTGAAGCTGGGTGTGCTGGTGCATACCTGCAATCCCAGCATTCAAGGAGGCTTAGGCAGGAGGATCACAAGATCAAGGCCAGCCTGGTTACACAGAGTTGCAGGCCAGCCTGGGCTACGTAGCCAGACCCTGTCTCAAGTAAATGATAAACACAGGATGCTCTGCTTCATGATTTACATTGTACGTATGTGCACATATATACTTCGTGCATAAATGTGCACGTGTTGGGGTGTGCACACATTTAATGATGGGACATGCTGCTGCAACACCTGAAGACTAATTTGGAGAAGCTTTAAACAAATAGCAGGGGAGCTGCACCAGAGCACTTCTTCACACAGAAGGCACAAGTGGCAGAGCTGTGTCTCCCCATCCTGACGGGCACAGCGCAGGCATGCAGCAGGGGCCTGGGCGTTCTGACTGCACTGCCCCCACTCTGAACATGGAGGCAGGGCCGAGGCACATGGATCATTCCACGATGGCAAGCATCCGCAGAGGCCATGCCCGTGGCAGATCCTGCATTGCCGGACTTCTCGAGGCGTCTGTGAGCTTCTTTCATTCTTCAGGACACTCTGCTGAATTTGGCACACTATACTTCTGTGCACCCACATGCTTTGCGGACAGAGGAATTGGTGCTAGTTGACAAGAGGTCCTCAGGAAAGTGGGTGGGGACAGGTCTGCACTGGTCATGCTATGAGCATTGACAATCCCGTGAGTGTTTAGGGATAGATCTCATGCAGCCTGGGACAGTCAGTGACAAATCAGGGGATTTTGTCATGGAAGTGGCCTGGACTGCCATGTCTCCACAGGTGTAAGGAGCACAAGCTGCAACACAGAGAAGAAAAAGGCCTTCAGTGGAATGCCTGCTTCTCTGGACAATCTGAAGGTGACAGTCTCAGGCCATGTAGCAATGCAGATTTTTTTGCATAGCCACCTGATGCCTCTGACATATGGACGTAGGAGCTGAGTAAGGAAGGAAACCTGAGCTGGAGGGAGGGTGTGGAGGCCATAGGTGCCGGTTCCCTGCTCACTGCACTTCCTCTTCAGGTGGAGCAGTCGCTGCTGCGGTGAACTCACCCTGCCTCATTTCAGCAGGTCTCAGAGAAGCCTTGCAAGATGAAGCCAGCTCTCCTCATGACTTCTGTTTGGTCCTTAGTTCTCACAATTAACAGCCTGGGTTGAAGGCAGTGACAAAATGACTTTTAAGTCCAGGAAGAGAGGGCTTATGGGATGGGGGCATTACAACAATGAAGCGGGAGCCTGTAACTGCCAACTGCCAGGAGCCTTTAGGAGCCAAGTGAGCACACAGTGTTCGAATCAAAAAAAAGGGGGGGGGTGGATTGTTATGAGACACTGACAGAGAGAAGGAATTTAACTCACTTGTCAAACTATAAACAACAAGAAAACAAAATGTGTGTGTTACCCGCTGTGTGTGTCCCACAGCGTGGTTTCATTCTGTGGACGGACATCTGCAATGATGTGTACATACAGCTGAACATCAATGCATAGAAAATGAAGAAACAGAAGATCTCAATGCTCTTTTTAAGACTTCACGAACACTGGTAAGAACTGATAGTTTCAGACCACAAAGAAGACCTGGATGGGCAAAGTGTGTGGCCACTGGGTTAAGGGCATAGGCTCCCCTTTGCTGGCCTCACCCCTTACCTTCACTGGGTGGCAAATCTTGACTGTGACCTTAATCCTGGGACCTTCTGTGACCAATGGTGATTCAGACAGATACTGTACCATGGATGGATGCATCCTCTTGTCCCTGGCCCCTTGCTGTGATAAGGACATGTCTAGGCAGCAGTGGGTTTGAGAGTAAGAGGTCCGGAGCAGAGCTGGCTCTGGCCAGCAGCCAGCTGTGACAAAGAGAAATAGTACAGGTGGGACCTGAAATGTCCTCTGGGTGCTGAGGGTACAGGAGTGACCAGAGGGGCCATGCAGGGAGAAGACCACACGGGTGCCTATTGTACAAACAGAGCAAGGCCAGTCAGGTCCCTGCAGCTGAGCACTGCCACCTTCCCATGCATGGCCTGAGGCCAGAAAGGTCACCATGCACGATAGTCTGCACAACCACTACCCACTCATTTCTGTGAGATTAATTCCAGCTCAAGCTATGACAGGCTATGAAAATGAGGAACCTATAAATAGGCTGCAGTTCGGTGTGAAATGCTCTGGCAATAGTGAGCTGGCAAGGGTGGTGGCTCAAGCGCCTGAACATACTCTACTGCAGCGAACTGCACGCTAGGAGTGAATTTTATGGTATGTGAATTACGTCTCAAAATAGAAGCAAAAATGGGTAAAAAAAATTATAATCTTGCAATAGGGAAGGCCTAAGTATGACACCAAGAAATTCATAGGAAACTAAATTTTGACATCAAAATTTAAAGTTCCCATACCAAAAAAAAGTTTGTGAACAAGTTAAAGAAAAAAAACTGAATGACCAGGAAAAAATATTTACATCAGTAAGACAGTTAATATCCTTAACACAGATTTTTTCATAAAATAAGGAAATTAGGGAATACCAAAAGAAATGGGCTGTGTTTAACAATAATTCAAAAGAGCAGAAATACAAGTAGCTCCTAAAATAATAAAAAATGTGTCCCTCACAAGTTATTAAAAATACAAAGAAAAGTATTTGCCCGTCGGGGTCACGGTAAGAAAGACTGGTGAGCCCCACCTACTATGGCACAAAACTGAGAACAGGAGTCAGGAGTTGGAAACGAGCTACAGCCATCACCACAGAGCTGGCCACACATGGTGCTTACATGGAACATGTGTCCTCCAGAATGGCAGGTGGTGAGGGAAGGTGGGCACACACCAGGAAACAACCCTGTGGTAACACTGGCTCACCACATAGCACCACAGTGGCACACATTTAAGAACTTAGACAAGTAAGGGCAACGCTGTAATGATCCATCCAGTATTGCTGCCTTTCGTAGGGTAGGACTTGGTTGGTAATTCAAGGACAAAGCCACATAAGAAAACTGTAATACATGTTTGATAAATCTAGACCTCATGCTTCATCCAAGTAAGGCATGAGAAAGATGAAAAATTGAGACTCAAAATTGCTGTTTTGCCTATTTCAAGCTGTTAACCTAACAACACTGATCCAAAATCTTCATTGTAATTTAAGAAGCTAAGATTTTAGAAAATTACAGCACATTAAATTTACCATATAATCCTACTATACCACTCAGGGCATATATCTGAAGAAATGTAAGTCAACATACAGTCAAAAACCTATCCACCCATATTTATAGCAGCACTATTCACAATAGCCAAGCTTTGGAAACAGACTAGGTGCCCATCAACCAATAAATGGATAAAGAAGATGTGGTGTATACACACAATGGAGTATTATTCAGCCGTAGAAGAAGAATGAAATGATGTCATTTACAGGAAAATGGATGGAACTAGACATCATCATGCTACGTGAAATAAGCCAGACTGAGAAGCCAATGCTATGTGTTCTCTCATATGCAGAATTTAGATCTTAAACATGAATGACAGGAATGTAAAACAGGTTCTGTTAGGGATGGGTAACAGCAGGAGAAGAGATTGAAAGGAGGGTAAATTTGGCCAAAGTACCTTACATACATGTATGGAAATAGAAATATGAGATCGTTAAAATTATTTTAAAAGGATGGAAGAGAAATAAGAGAGTAACGGAGGGGGTGAATTTGATCAAATTAGAAATGTCACAATGAAACCTTTATACACATGTCAGTACGTTTTTTTAAAAAATAAAGGTTTTCTGCTCGCTGCCTGAGTGACATCCTTGACACACATGGTGCCATAGTCAGTACTGGAGTGTGGCCACATTTTCAGTTACATTTCCAGCAGTGCAACAGGTAAATCACACCACAATGCTTTTGCTTCAGTGGTGTTTATAGCAATGAATTTTGTCTGAACAAAACTCACAAGCAAACAAACAAAGAAAAAAAGATCTCCATGTTAGTTCTTCTTTCAAACCAAATTCCAAAGTTATGTTTTTCAAACTGAAATTTTGCCATCCATTTGTAAGTCAGGAAGTAACTTAGTGGTTTGTGTCTAGTACTTTAAGACAACAGGAAATGCCAGCGTGCATCACACGCTGTAGTGGGCGACAATGCTACTTTTAGTTAAGTTTTTCTTTACAGAAGTGCAGTGTGCGTAAGTGGAATTGCTCTAACTGGGGACAAAACGCCCCCGGTCTGCACAGGCCTTTGCTGTCAGGGAACAAGACAAATGCCAATTGCGCTCAATCAGCAGAGCTCTGCGCGAAGCTGCTCAGACCCCAGGTGGGAGTTGCCAGGCACTTCTATGGAGAAGATAGTGCAACCAAACAAATCCAAGCAGCTTGAACAATTAAATGACAGAAAACCCATGCTTCCGTCTACTGATGCTGCATTTCAGTTGCAAAGAAACTGATCTACCAGTAAGTCCACAATGAAAAGAGAGTGAAAATATCCAATTCCTCCTCTGTCAACACGTCACCAGAGTGATTATTGCCCTTTACAAAACAGAAATGGAAGTAGCCTTTAAATACCCTTTTGTTTTAACCATAATGGTATTTAAGACTAAATATGTGTGTGTGCTTGTAAAACCAAATATGACATTACTTTTTTGTAAAAAGTTTAATTTCTAAGACATAAAAGTCACACTAAGAGTTATCTCTGGGAAACAAAGACCAACAATTTGTAAACAAAACAACCTATAGACAAAAATTTACCAGTGTGTCCAGACGTTGTGTTTAAAAGTAGCATACCAGGTTTTTAAGTTTAAAAAGTCAGTACTGTGTTTACATTTGCATTTTTTAAAACCTTATAATTTGCCTATTTGCATTAAGTATTATGCTAACCATATGCAAGTACGGGGGGGGGGGGGGGGGGGGGGGCCCTGGCGCTGTTAAGTCGTTACTGAAGCTGCAGGGACAGCCAACAGCACTATCTCAGGTAGCACTGTCGCACGTGCCACTGACATGGGTGAAAGACCCAACAGAAAGGTTTCACTCTGACCCACCAGCCAGCTCCCCAGAGCAGCAAGTCAAGGACCCAACAGGTATGTGCACACAGTTTCACATAAAGTCTCACATTTAGAGCAGGTCTATCTTTACATAGAATGTACATAAAGCTACGTAAATATTAAATCTAAGAAATATTCTGGAAAATCAGTAAAAACCAATATAAATGTTATACTCTATAAAATTTGTAGTTGTAAAATAATTTGTTTAAATACTGCAAAACTGTTTATGATAAGAACCATGAAGTCCCTCTCAACAAACTCTTGACTCCAGTGCTTATGCCCTTTGCGGCGGAAGCTCAGGGGAGAGGCCAGGAAGGCCGCGTGTGACGTGATAACACCACGGTGCAGCCCCGTGCAGTCGGAAGAAAGACAGCAGCTCCGTAACTGCCTGTGAGCATTTGCAATGCTGTCTTCTGGGCCTATCCGTCTTCTCTTTCTTAGACACAACTGCAATACAAGGAAGGCTCCTAAAAGTGCCTGTCCTTCCCAGCACTCAGCATGCAGCCTCAGTGTGTGCCAAGTGCTTCTGTGGGTGCCTCACAAGCTGGCCTCCAACACGTGTCCCATGCAGAACCTGCCCCTGGTATGGACCTCTCGCTCCACAGGAGTCTCTGAGGTTTGTGACTAGGACCAGAGCCTCACAGGGTGTTGATTCTGCAGCACATCAACAACCAAGGGAATTGAGACTCAAGGTGACAGTGAGTACCTTCCACTCAATGCTCAGCCTCTGCTTCCACGGCAGTAAAGGTGCATCATCTCATAAGTGCTATAGGATTAAGCACTCGTTTTCCTAAGCTTACTGCCCAGACCTGGCCTGAGTCCTCAGATGGAAAGGAACTTTCAAATGAATAAAAAATTGAGACAGACATTATAAACCTTATTATTCCAATAAAACTTTTCAGGCATCCTACAAATACTCAGGAACTATCTTTGGATATGTCCTAAATGTGTAAGTTGAAGGTAATTTTATATGCTCCTGAGTCTCTTTCTCTCATTGGTCTGCTCAAAGTATGGATTCCAAGTTCCAATAAAAATCAAACCTTGCAATTAATGCTAAAGTAACATAATTAACAGTGACATTTTCATTAATTTTCTAGACAATTCTGCATGGATTATACACTAAGTAAGAAACCCACCAAGTGGGAGGTGCACAGTGTCACTGGGAACCAAAACATGAACGTTCTTCTATTTTAAAACTAAACTGCATTTACTTAATTATTTATTTTTGGTGGTACTGAGGTTTGAACTCAGGGCCTCATTCTTGCTAGGCAGATGCTCTCCCTGCCGCCTGAGCCACTCCACAGCCCCTACACTGCATTTGAAAACATGAGACACTCAGAAGAAAATGTAAAGGTATAAATAAAGGAGTCATATACTCAATGGAGCCTATTTTGCTTCTAAGTAAAATTTTTATGTCAAAATAGATACAGCCTATTTTCAAAAATTTCTCCAAAAAACCCTCTAAACTCAACAAGAGATTGCCATACCCACAGCACACAGGACACACACATTCACAGGTTGCACAGTTGTGCGCTGCTGTGGGCAAGTGCATGACCTTGTGGTCTGCGTGCACAGCTATGGGTGTCCCGTCCTCACGAAGGTAACACAAGGCATATGTTCGTGGTTTTCACACAGCAGACCTAAGAGTTGGGAAACCATCCCAACAATTATTTACAACTTAATAACCCAATGATTATCAGATCATACTACCCTGCAAACCTATTCTTACATGGAGAACAATGACCTTGGGATCTCTGGGCATTAAACGGGTAACTTTTGTAAGTTGGAGGCTTAAACTGGCATATAAAAAGTACCCAGAGCCTGAAGAGCAAAGACGGAGTTTCTACCACTCGGCACTTATATTTCCATAAGCATCACAAACACAGCGGATTAAGTCATCTTTGAAAAAAAATGCTTTTAAAAAGTGTTGTACATAGAGCCTATAAGGCAAAATCTCAGTTACGAGTGTGCTCAACACTGGCAACGAGGTTGTGAGAGGTAATGCTGAGTTACATACACACACACTGTCCCTTAACTGTGCTCATATGACATTTCCTAAGACATTGCTTGGCTTCCCACCAAGGCTCAGGTTTTAAACGAATTTAGTACTCTTCCCTTGGCTCAAAGTCTGACAAATATTATGTAACATAAATCAGAAACTATGCTTTTGTTTTTCTAAGGAAATAGAAAATATTAGTGCCAATACTACAGTTCCCGTGCAATAATGGCCAGTTTGTCCAGAATGGGAAAACTGCAAGTCCTGTGGCATGACACCTTCCAGACCTCCCCCTGGCAGAACAGAACATAGCACAGCTTCAAGCAAAGCTTTGGGAAGGTTCTGAGTTTGCCCTTTCTAACATGTTTCATGTCGGTTGAGAATTTCTATCTGGATGGCTGTTGCTGACAGGAGCACACATCTGCAGACAGAGTGCTTTTTCCACCATGCCTAAGACTCTGCATGTAACTGCAACTATGGGGTCACCCAAAAGTTCACCTTAAAAAAGAAGTTCAGCAATAGCCAAGTTCTTAGTGGGTTTGGCAGCCCAGGCTCTAAACATGAGCCACGGTCAGGATGAAAGCGCTCTGGGTGCAGGAATGCCATGAGTTTGGAGGCCCAGGCTCTTGCTTGCAGAATGGTGCCAGCTGTGGGTCTCACAGTGCTTTCTGATGCCCATTTGCAGAAGGTTTTGTTGTTTCTGAATCCCTTGAAGTGTTTGATAAGTGAAGTTTATGAAGCCCTGCAGAAAAATTATGACAATGGTAAAAAATGACATATTGTTGAGTGGTCGGGCAAGGGACGGGGTGATGGGGACAGGACATTTATGAGGCAGAATGTGTGGTTTTATGTGGAAGTTGTGATACGCTGGCCAAACATCCCACTGGCATCTCTGTCTGGAGATGGCCTCTACTGAAGACATTTGCCTGGCAGAGGCCATGCCCCTTCCAGGACAGCAGCCTCCAGTGACAGAGAGATGGTGGGGGAACTCTTTACTCAGTGAGCTCTGAAGGGTCATCCACAGTCATCATTGTGCCCACTATGGCATTGAAGCAAATTTCCCTCACCTTCCACCATAAACCACCGGCAAGCTTATTCCCCTCCCAAAGTGTGCTTTCCAGGGAGCCTAACCTGGGGCACATACGTTCCCAGTTCTGTTTAAAAACGGACATGCATAGGCAGGAAAATGTGGGGAAGGATATACCAAATTATGATGAATGTAATCAAAAAGAAAAGCAATGGGAAAAATTACCAAAAAGGAGAGAAATAAATGGCCAAGGAACAAACTGAATATAAAATTACTTCATTGCTCAAAGGCATTTTATGGAATACAAAACCATCACGTTTCAGTTCCATTAGCTTCCCTCTGTTCATACTGCACTTACTTCCACAACACAGCTGACTTATGGGACAGCACTGGGCCCTCCCAGGAAGGAAAGCAGAAGAGAAGCTCATGTGGCGCTAAGGCTCAGTCATACACTCTGCTCAGAATGAGATGCAGGGACATCGAAGAGGACTTGGAGCACCTCTACAGGTGGGAACAATTTCCATGAGGCTTAGACCTTTATGACCTCAAAAACAACTGGAAAAGACTTTTTCCTTCTAAGATTCCAGGTAGTAATCTTTCTGACTCCTAGGAAGTTTTATATCACTCCTAAACCAATACAGTGCTCCAAAATGTAAATTTTCTGTCACCGACAAAAAAACGAAAAAAAAAATTTTAACTCTGTTTCTCTATGATTGAATGGGGAGGAAAAAAATGGTCCTGGTCCCAGGAACAGCCAAACCAGTGAGTGACCAGAGGAGGTCCAGCTGCTGGAGATGAGAAGTGCATTAAAGCAAGGCTTGTCAGGAAGGGGACCTAAGGAAAAGGGCCAGTGAGGCACTCATTGGCTACACTGAAATGAAACCAAACTTTTTTTTAAGTGCTGAGGCTCAAACCCAGTACCTTGTGCATGCTAGGTAAGCATGCTACCCCTGAGCTACAACCCTGGCCCCAGAACCAGACTTTTAAACAGAAGTCTGGACTGAAGTCACTTCTAAAACATGGGTGCAACATAGGTCATGCATTGTGAAAAAGTGCAATGTCCCTCTTCTGCACACTGCTGCAGAAACAATCTCCTCCCATCAAGAATACTAAAGAAGGAAAGGAAAAAAGGACATGGTTAAACTCTAGAATCAAATTATGAGTCTTAGAGAAGTCATACTGCAGATCTCAGATTACTTGAATTGCATATACTTAAAGAACAACTTTTTCTACACATAATTTGTTCCCATAGAGCACCCCCAAAGTAGAACCGAAACATTTGGAAAGAAAAGTAAACCTATCTGTTAGATAGTTTTATACAACTCGGTAACTCCACTGCTGCTTCTGGTCAAAGAGCTGACACAACACATTAAGAACTTTTGGGGTTTGAAAGCAGAGTCTCATGCTTGCTAGGCAAGCATTCTACCACTTAAGCAACTCTGCCAGCCCTTTCCTGTGTTGGTCACTTTCGAGATAGGGTCTCGTGAACTACTTGCCCAGACTAGCCTTGAACTACAATCCTCCTGATCTCTGCCTCCTGAGTAGCTAGAATTACAGACATGAGCCACCAGTGCCTGACCACATAAGGCCTTTGACCTCAGGTGAGGTTACATTTATTACTTTAATAAAGACTTCCTTCCATAGCAAAATAATACCCAGAATACCTAACTCAAATGCTGAAGGTACTGCAATTCAATTACACCCACTGAGTTAGTACATGGCAGGTGATAATTTACCTCTGAGATTATGGCTAGCTAATCACGCTGACATTATAACACGTTTGTTAAGTTTTAACATTAGACATATGAATGAGAGTTTTTAATTTGGCCAGATGTAGCTTTTTCCTTTCAGGCTGATATTCCAATCAGTTATCCCCTCACGGCATATTCAAAGTAAAATACACAGGGATTGATAATCTGAACATTTTCTTCTTCCCAAAGGCTATCTTTTCAAATATCAAGGTTGGAAAGTGTTGGTGGTAGGAGAAGCTTTTCTGCTGCTCATACAGCTTAAGTCATCTGGCAATGGACCTTAATGAGTCAATCAATCTGAAAGAACACTGAAACACACAGTGGAATGCTGTCCACTCAGATACACTAAGGTGCTAATGCAAGGATTCTCTATAACTCTCTACAAAAAAAATCACTGCCTTTCCCTTCTTCTCTTAGGAAACTACATACCCCAATCCTGCCTGAGTCAGTTTACAGGGTCCTGGTAGTGTTAAGCATAAAACTTGAAATGTTTTTAGCATTAATGTGGAAGTAAGCATGAACAATATATTCATAGATTATGGCAGTTTTGAATACCACCACAATGCATGGGATTTAAAAATACATGATAATGAATCCCCTCTTTCTATCAGTGCCAAGAATGCTAACATTTTAATCCTGAATTATCTGGCTTTTAATTGTAGAGAATTGAGGGTTTCCCTGATAACTGCAAAACCCAAGCCTCAAAAAAAGAAAAAAAAAAAAAAACTTTAACAAATAGTAAAAGGCACAATAGTGAAAGCCTTCAGTGACTTGTCATCCTCAGCACCATCGTCATAAGAACAGAGCAGCTCGTGGGATGTGCCAGGCCCCATGCCAAGGCCTCAAAGGTAGCATTTGATTCAGTCAGCACATGCTCCCCCAAGGAAGCCACTTCACTGACAAAAACTAAGTTCAGTACTGTGACTACGCAAGCTATAAGTGATAAGTGGTAGGTCAACAACTGTACTTCAAAAGTTGTACTCATTCAGAAACCGACTTAAGATGAGCTCAAAAGTCAAAAACGTTGATTAGCAGAAAGAGAAATATAAACGTCAGGATTACCTAGGGCCTTGAACAGTTCTTCTCGCACAGCAGAGGTGAATTTTCTGACCAAGCACAATGTTGTAACAATGGCAAAGAGCAAATTGTAAGATAATACGATATAGAAGTTTCCCAGCCAATTAAACCTTCCAAAGTCTCCAAGTAGATCAAACCTGGTGATTCCTGTTAAAAATAAATACAAGAGCCCTTAATAAAATCAGGCAAGACAGATTCATATTTGTTACAAAATACAGGACAAATTGGATCAGATTCCTTGGACTTTCACAGTAGTTTGTGGGCTGCTCTGAGGAATGACCCCAAAGGAATAACCGTACAACTGTCACCTAGCAGGTGACCTCAAGCCAGCCTGGACCTGCTTCACATACATGCCAGTCACTTGTGTGAGATGAACAAGAGGCTGGCCCAGGTGCCTACATTAAAGAGTCAGCTGCTATGCCTGCGCAGGGAGGACAGTGACTCGTGCAGAATGGCTGTACCTGGTGACAGGAAGCTGAGCAAGTCCTCACCTAGCCCCACTGATGCCCAAAAGTCACCTCCACAGAGAGGCCTCCTCACTTCCTAAAGCAGTAGGACCTCAGTGGGCTCTACCTAATTACACTCCTTCATAGCACACACTACCCGAATCCTTTTTCCTTTTAGCTTATTTACTAATTTTCCCTACTCATTCCATAACAACGACTTTGTTCCACTCTTATAATCCAAGACCCAAAGGCTTTACATATTTTAATATTTATTACAAGAATGAATAAATAAGATCTTTTCCTTCCATAACAACCACTGGTAATCTGAATTTAATGTGATAGCTTTAAAGGCCAAAGCTGGAAAATGCAGGAGGGGTTTACATCATACACATTTAAAACAACTTAAGATATTCTATTCGGTGAGCATGTGTTGAAAGTCAAATACTTAGCAGAAAGAATATGTGAGAGGTAGGATTTTTCTGACTACAGATAGGTAAATAAATCCCATCATTCAGGTAGTCAATTTAGTGAGAGATGATAGGATTGTAAACAGTCTCTGAGGAAGAAATTGAAGAGGTAGGTGGGGGCCATATAAAATTTAACAACAAAGAATTACAAGAAATAATAAAAACTTACTGTAGGATTGAATGAACCCAAGCATATAACTGCTATGTTACAGGTAAATAAAGGACTTATGGTGGTTTTAAGATACCTTTGATTCAATCACATCACCAACTAACTTTGAATTTGACCCTCGTCCTGTCTCAAATTCACCATCTACTGTAGAAAGCTTCACAGAGCAGCTTACAGAGGAGGGAAAATCTCTGCAGTCACTCCTACTTGGGAACAATGCATGTGAATTTGAAAGACAATACCAAAATGTCTGTAAGAAAAGTAATGGAAACATGGGCTAAAATCTTTCAAATCCCAAGAAACAGAAATGCAGATAAAGAATTCATAGGTTTACTTTTAAAAGTAATCAGTGACTTCAGAGAGAACTTAGATAGTTAAATGACGTTAGGAAATCAACTCAAGACTGAGTAAGAAAGTCAGCAGCAACGATGAAAAATTCAGCAAGGAAACTGCATTCTGAAAAAAAATAAAGATGTAAATGTTGAAATGAAAAGCTCAAAAAAAAAAACAACAAACACACAGTGGAAAACTTACCAGCAGACCAGCCAAGCAGAAGACAGAATGTTAGGTCTTAAAGTAATATCAATGGAATATTACACTCAAGCAGCAATAAAGGAAAAACATAAACAAGTATTACCACAACCTGCAAGAATACTGGGGCATGATTAAGAGACCAAAACTAAGACTCTATGGGGTTGAAGGAGAAGCTAAGACACAATAAAGGCACAGAAAATACATTCAATCAAATTATAGCACAAAATTAAATCTTGGGACAGATATGAACAACTGGAGGCATTTAGAACCCCAAATATACATGATTGATTAGGAAAAGCTCTCTGTGCCATATAATAGTTAAAATGCCAAGATTAAAGAATAAAGGATATTGATAAAGAGTAAACAATATTGAAATACATTGCATCTGTGTATGAAGATAGTTAACAAAATGCATTGAAAGCTGTTGAATAACAGGGGAGCAGGATGACAAAGAAAGAGTTAAGCAATGGGGGGGTCAATCTGATTAAACTGATACATGTGTGAAATATCAAGAAGCCCCCTTGAGCAATCAATATATACTTAAAAATGAAGGACAGGAAGGTAAACCAGGTCCTGCCTGGGGGGAAAACACCAGTGGGAGGGAGAAGGTAAATTGAACAGGTAAAGAAAGCCAATTGGTTCAGTACACAGTGCACTTTCGAATATGTGTATGAAAACAGAAAAAATGAAATCTGCTGAAATTGTTCTAGGAGGAGGGGGAGGGATGGAGGAGGAAGGATGAGGGAGAAGGATGGAGGGGGTGCATCTAAGTATACATTTATAAGCAGCATATGTAAATGTCACAATGAAACCACACTTGTACATCTTAATATCTAATAAGAAAAAGAAAAGCCATTAATAGAAAAGTTGCAAGAGAAAAATGCGCACTTAAAAGGAAACATGTACAATTATCTCTGACCTCGTCAGCAAAACCCCTAACAGCCAGGAAGATGGAATGATTTATTTTAAGCACTGAAAAGAAAATACGGTCAACAAGATTACCAAATACAAGCAAAGGACTTCGAACTCAATGGAGAAAGTAAAGACTCTTTTGAGACAGCTGAGCTGAGCACTGCAAAGGTGGAAATGCTATCCGCAGGAGGAAGAGTGGCAGTAAGAAATGACAGCCTGGAAGATAGTTTCTTAGATGAGGAGAGGAACAACATGAGAATTAGAGAAATGATTGGCATGTTCAACTTTGGCAAACGAGGTCCTAAAATGAATAAGGGGAACGAAGGAGTAAACAGCACTTGAATTAACTCAGAAAAAAACATCAACAAAAATTAAGGAGTCAGGCCAGAAAACACATGAAAAATGCTCACATCTCTAGCAATAAAGGAAATGCAAATTAAAACCACGCTAAGATTCCACCTCACCCTGTTTAGAATAGCCATCATCAGCACCACCAACAACAGGTGTTGGGGCGAGGATGCGGGGAAAAGGAACCCCTCTTACACTGTTGGTGGGAATGTAGAACTAGTACAACCACTCTGGAAAAAAATTTGGAGGCTACTTAAAAAGCTGGACATCGATCTAGCAATTTGATCAGAAATACCATCTTTGGGATATACCCAAAAGACTGTGATCCAGAGGCACCTGCACATCCTGTTTATTGCGGCACTATTCACAATAGCCAAGTTATGGAAACAGCCAAGATGCCCCCACCTGACGATGGATTAAGAAAATGTGGTATCTATACACAATGGAATTTTATGCAGCCATGAAGAAGAACGAAATGTTATCATTCGCTGGTAAATGGATGGAATTGGAACATCATTTGAGTGAGGTTAGCCTGGCTCAAAACAAAAATCGTATGTTCTCCCTCATATGACATTAGATAAGGGCAAAACACAACAAGGGGATTGGACTTGAGCACATGATAAAAGCGAGACACACAAGGGAGGGTGAGGATAGGTAAGACACTAAAAAATAGCTAGCATTGTTGCCCTTAACGCAGAGAACTAAAGCAAGATACCTTAAAGCAACTGAGGCCAATAGGAAAGGGGAAGGTACCAGAGAAAAGGTTAGATCAAAAGAATTAACCTAGAAGGTAACACCCACGCACAGAATCAATGTGAGTCAATGCCCTGTATAGCTATCCTTATCTCAACCAGCAAAACCCTTGTTCCTTCCTATTATTGCTTTACTCTCTCTTCAACAAAATTAGAATAAGGGCAAAATAGTTTCTGCTGGGTATTGAGGGGGGGGGGGGTGGAGTGGGTGGTAAGGGAGGGGGTGGGGCAGGGGGGAAAATGACCAAGCCTTGTATGCAATATGAATAATAAAAGAAAATGAAAAAAAAAATTTTAAATAAACTTTAGAGTCAAAAAAAAAAAAAGAAAATAAATAAATATAAAGTTAACTTTAAAAAAAAAATTACAGGAAGTCAGCAAATAGTTACAAAATAACCTAAGGGTAATGGTCTTACTCTTCAACCCGAAACCATAGACAGTCTCATGGATTAAAAAATAAGATCCCCTGTTGCTCTACAAGAAACAAAACTTCATCGGCAAGAGCTTAAAAAGTGAAAGAACAGGAAACAACTTACCAAGAAGCAGAAGTAAAAGCCAGCAGGAGTAGCTTGCTTGACAGTTAGAATTCAAGTAAAAATTAGAGGAAAAAAGTCACTACACACTAATAAGGGGACAATCCATCAAGAGACGTCGTATTTGTAATATATGGGTTAATATATTGTGCAGGCGAGTGTTGGTGTGCTCAATTTCATAAGACAAACACTTCAACACTTCTAGATATACAGGGACAGGTACCAGTGGTGAGTTAATCCTTACTGCTTACTTAACAGAGAGATCATTCAGACAAAACAAATATGATACTTAAAGTTAAAACTGAACAGCAGATTAATGGACTTAATGATATCTCGAGTATTCTACAACACCTGCAGACTACATATTTTCCTCAACAACATGAAAATTCCTCAAAGTAAGTCATTTTTAGAGCCACAAAGACAAAAGCTCTGAATGAAACAATCTGTTTTATTTACCAAATACAATAGAATAAAATTATAAATCAATAGCAAAAGAAACAGTAATATACTCAAACAACTGGCAATTGAACAACAATGGAATGATCAGAGGGTTATTGAAGAAACAGAATGGACGTTAAGAAAATCCTAGAATCAATGAAAATGAAATGAAAACACAACTTAGCTGAACCTTTGGGATCTGAGATAGGCAGGTATAAAAGGAAGTTCGGGTATTGGGGTGGTAACATTTAGGTTCAAAAAAATACTAATAATGTACCCTCAATGTCTTAGAAAAACAACACACAAGTAGTAGATGGAGAGTAATAATACTATCAGAATGGAAATTACTGAAATGGAGACCAATAACAATACAAAGTAACAATAAATAAAGAGTTGGTTCTTTGAAAAGATAAAAGCCGGGCATGTACAGTAGCTTATTATAATCCTAGCTACCTAAGAGGTGGAGATCAGGAGGATCATGGTTGGAGCCAATTCAAGGAATAGTTTAAGAAACCTATCGTGAAAATATCCACACAAGGAGGTGGGTGGAG